GCATCGGGCGGGGGTATACGGGCAGCGGCGGCGGCGCCGGCCACGCTGGGACGCTGCCCACGCTCCTAGGGCCCTCCTCATCACCGATTTCCACATCAGAATCCTCCTCCAACTCCTGACTTTCACTCTGTTCACTTTCACCCTTCGACTTGTCCTCCAGATGACCGTAAATACGTGCAAAAAACTTCCTCGGAGAAGAGGGACGGGGCGCTTGCAACGTTTCCGTTAGTTCCGGTTTTTCGTTACTCATTTTGTTGATACCATCACACGTGCTGCCCGATCGCTAATGGCACGTGGATTGGCATGTCAGGTGATTCATGCGAGATCCCTCGGGAGTAGCCCCGCCCATCTATGTTCCCGTCGCATTCCGACCGGTAGCAAAGGGAGGTGTAGCCAATAGCCAGTTGATACGAGAATAGACGCCGCCCTGGGGCGTGTTTTTAAGTTCATCTGGTTTTGTCTTATTGCAAACTTTGTTTAAGTGTGATAACGATTTTGCGAAATAGATAAACGAAAGTAAATGAATGTAAGAAGTGGCTGAAATTTTGAATAACTGACTTTTTAAATTAAATAGGTAACTAACAAAAAGGTAACTAAAATGACAGTTATTATAAAATATGCTATTTCATTTTTTACATAAAATCAAATATTTTTAATAAGTTTACTATTAGATTTTTTTTACTAGAAAAAATTCTACGCGGTCTAGAAAGCAGACGGGACTCGAACCCACACCCTCCGCTATCCGAGCGGATGCACTGACCAATTATGCTACTTGTGCTACCATGAGAATGAGTCCCGTCTGCTTCCAAGACCGCGTGGATTTTTTCTTTAAATTTAAACATCTAGCAGTTAAATGCTTAAAATATAAATGTAATAAGTTTACTCTTCATAGATGAATACTTGATGTCGCTACGTCGAGCTAAGCGAGACCAATTATTCATCTATAAGTACATATGCTGTTGTTGTTAAATCCAAAGATTTAAAGTAGGATCTCCTAGGATTTTTATGAATAAAACTAACTGTCAAATTGTTTGACGTTGCGATAACCTTAGGAAATAACATCAAATTTTTTAAAGACAAAATCATTTGATCAGAAATTTGGGTAGGTACCATTAGAAAAATATAATAATGAGCAAATTTTATGATGAAGGAATGAGATTAAAACCGACAGTTATTTTTTAGATCATGACCTACGCGATCGGTCTCTCGTTTTTATTGTTGTGCTTGTCCTTAAATTACACGTTTCCTCTTCGAAGGGATAATATAAAGCTATCTTCAGAAGCAGACGGCAGATACTTTAATAGTAAGTACTGTAATTAATTACATACCTGGTAGCCATTGCATCATGACAATGCATTATAGGTACGTCATTGACTTGGATACCTAATTACTTTTTGACCGATTTCAAAAAGGAGGAGTTCCTCAATTCGTCAGTATATTTTTGGATCTCACGTTTTTACTTGGTGTTATTATTTAATAGCACAAAAAGTAAACTATCTGAATGAAAATTCATAAAGAATATCGCACATCAATCAAGTATCTACTTTATTTTCATCCCCACAGATTCATGGCACTGGGATGATTTCCTGCCTAACGACATCGTCGAAAGCAGCAAGAAAATGGCCAACAACATAGGAAACGTTTTAAAAAGAATTAAAAATACAGCACAAGATTTTGGAAAGAACACTTACACCGATAATGGACCGAAGAGAGAAAACAAGAGACTAAGCGATGAGGACCTACGTCAGTATGAACAGTTGGTCATTATGAAGAAATATCCATACTTAGATCCTAAGGACCTGGAGTATCAGTATAGTCCGCTCTCAAACAAAAATGTAAGACAGAGCTGGAGATTCGAACCTCAGTCCAATCTTCGAGACTCTATTTCATATGAGCCAGAGGAAAGCATCAACGTGGAAATATTAAATAGAGGCCTATCCGGATTTTCCATTCCTGCCAAATTGACGAAAGGGATCACCATTGTTGATAATAAATTAAAAATTAATAACGTTAAGAGTAATGAACCAAGCCAACATTCCCATAACCTATCGAAAAGGTCGAAGAAACTTCTGAACCTGTTAAGTCTTGAAAAATTATGATATTGATATTGAGATATGTAGAGTAGGTACTTACAAAGTGAAAGTTAAGTTAATAAAATTTAAATAGGTATAGAAATTTATCATTTTACAAACTGAAAAAAGCAAAGAAATAGTTGAAACTAAATCTTTACCCAGGCCTAGGTATTAGTCTAGATGCCTACCACTTGCCGCTGTGGTAGTAAAATATTCTTAAATATACCTGTACTTAATCACATCTCGGATACCGTTTTGGCTGTTATTTTACCTATTTATCTTTCTACTATGCCATATTAGTGTTATGCCGGGCACTTCACAATATTTGCACAAGTGTACAAGTTTGCGTTATGCGTGTACCATGTAACATCTAATAGTCTGTGCCTGTAACTGTCACATAAAAAAGTATTATTTCCTTTAAAATATTCTTTTTAATAGGTAGTAGTAATATTAATAATTCAAGTATTCGGTGCCGCCGGACAGGACAGCTTACACGGGAGGTTGTTATTTTCGTGTAGGTATCAACAATTGGCGGTCCTCTTATTTTAAGGGATGCATGTAAACGAAGAGGAGTCAGGAGCTAATTAAAATAAGTAAGTTTGTATTCAGTTTCGAAAATAAAATTCAGTGTTAATTTCAACATTTATTATTACGGTTTTAACATCAAAATTAATAAAAGAGGTAGTTATTTTCACAGTAGCTTAAATAATAAGTTAGGAATTGGCGATAAAAAACTATGTATAACATTTTGCAATTACAAGTTGATTTCTTAATAATAACGTACTTATAATATGACAATGGTGTCGATTCTGGAATGGTTCTCTAAACCTAAACTTAAATTTGACAACAGTGCATCCTTGTCATTCTCTATACAGAATGAAAAGGAGAGGCTGATGTAAAATTTAGTTTAAACTTTATCTTGTCTGTTCTTGACTGATGTAAAATTTAGTTTAAAGTTTAGAATCGTGTCAGAACCAATAAATATTAATAACAAACCAGGAATTACTATAGATAAGTACATACAAAATTCAACAAACAATCAAAAACCGATTTAGCTGCATATACTAAAATGGTTTTGTTTTTGTCGCCATCTACTCGGATATGCAAAATTCTAGATAAAAAGTTCCTTTAAAAATAAATCACTTTGGTATCCAATAAAAAAAAATCCACTGTAAAGACTAATAATCTTTGTCCAAAAAAAGAAGATTTGACATTCTTTTTTTTATTTATTGGCTATGAATACCTAGTTAAATACAAAGTCCATCGCCTTGATTAAACATATATATATATTATATTTTCGATAAGTTACTGTGAGGTAGTCAACACTACAATAAAGTTCTTACGTCCACTTGACCGGCATAGAGTATATTTTAAAGACTCTACTAATTTTTCAGTTGCGCAGATGGTTGTAACACAAAATCACACCAATTTTATTTCACAATATCCACTATGAACGAATTTAAGAATAAATAAAATAACTCGCCAACCACACTCGATGAAATCCCGCCAAAAACTCCGCTAGATTTTACATTCTGTGTAATGTTGCAACTGTAAAAAAATCCCTCAGGAAAAATCAATAAAACAGAACCAGTCGGTTGCTCCTTAAACTAAAAATAAAACCAAAAGATGCTCTTCACATGCCAAAAAATATTTTAAATAATGTGTTCTAAAAAGTAAGTCACACTTGCTCTGCCCGCACAGACATCGTTTTAACAGTGATCTGTAGTCATAACTAAATTGAAAAATAAAGCCTGCTATTCTATTTCTGTGGTATAATTACCTATTTAAATCCCCTCATTCCATCTAACCACATCTAGACATATGTTTCTTCTTATCCTTATAAATATGGACACTTTTCTATCAATACAAGGAAGCTTCCTCGATCATAATGTTTCGGGGGGTATAAAATGGCAACATTGGATAAAACATTTGATCTGAAATGATTAGATAAATTATTAGTTTGATTCAGGATTCTAGTTTCATCTAAAATCTCCTAACTAAAAAGCTATTGCATGATTTTTAAATCCTGCTAATATTCATTGTAAAACTAAGATGTTTGTGACTATTAACGCTAAAACGGGTAATAAGATGCAATAAATGAACCCATAGGAACCCAAGGGCGCTTTTAACCCTGAAAAAACCGGTCTAGTCCGAGTCGGACTCGCGCACGAAAGGTGAAAATAAGTTATGAAGTACACAATGACTCGGCATTTTTTGTATAAATACAGCATATAGGCCTCACATACCAACATTTCACAAGCCTACCTAGTTTCTATTTTGAGACAGACCCTGTCACAAAAATAGTCTAATAATAACAAGTTTTACGGGCTCGCATTTCCTTGTTTTAATAAAAAAAAAGTTATGACCTACTCAACGAGCTCTAGACAATGATGTGTCACATGTATACCAAAGAAAAAAATAATTTTTCGTCTTCTTTTCATGTATGAGACCTCCCATAAAAAATATTAATTGCATTTTTAACTAAATATTTGCTTTGAGTAATCATTCTACTTATAATACCTAAATTTCAGTTCTGTAACACATTCCGTTTACTGTCTAGAGACCCGGACATACAGATAAACAGTGTGACAGCAATAGGGTTCCATTTTTACCATTTGGGTACGGAGCCCTAAAATTGTTCGATTCCTGTAGAATAAAGAAAACTATCCATAACACGGACGAAGTTACGGGTTGAAACTAGAGATTCATAAATTATATTTCATTTCAAATATTAAAATTACAAGTTTCTTTTTATTAAAATACCAAACAAACCTTTTATTATATATATTTGGCAGATTTGTATGAGAGTGCGTTTAATCCAAGAAGCTTGTACAAGCTTTTTGGTTTAATCAGTTTAGATTTCGTTTCAAATATGGTTGGCAACATTGCACAAAAGTGACAGTGACAAATTTGACAGACAGCGGTACAGGCAACGATCACCAACCAATTTAGATTTATGGATTTATTGTTATTTAATTAAGCCTTATGTGTTTCATTTTGTCGAGTTTTATCGACACTAATAAAAGAATTGCATAGATCTTAAATTCAAAGTATTAAATATAGTGAATGTTTAACAGTTCAGAACTATTTTGTTCAAAAATCGTAAGTCTACTCAGCCTGTTGTGTGTTTTTATAGTACATTGCAACGATCCGCAGATCCCTAACCATGGAATTGGAATGTCAAGTTCAGAACTACGATTGGGGCAAATTAGGTACTCAAAGTATGGTGGCCAAATTAATTTCCAGTGCTAACAACAATATTGTCATTGACCCATCGAAACCATACGCAGAACTGTGGATGGGTACACACCCCAATGGACCATCACTAATCATTGAAAGAGGTGTATTGTTATCAGAATATATAAAAGATAATTTGGATGCTATTGGTCATGCAGTTAGAAATACATTTGGTGAGACAGTGCCGTTTATTCTAAAGATTTTGTCTATAAGAAAAGCTTTGTCTTTACAAGCACATCCAAAAAAGGTAAATAAAGTTATAAATAGTGAAATTTACAATACACATTTCATGTTTTCTTATATCATTAATATTTTAAGTTTAGTTCACTACTGTAAAACTAAATTGATAATTTTAATTTTCCAGGAGCATGCTGAAGCCCTTCACAAGAGTTGCCCTGAAATGTATAAAGACCCTAATCACAAACCAGAACTAGCTATAGCTCTCACAAATTTTGAAGCCCTGTGTGGATTCAGATCACTTGACGATATTAAAAGCTATTTGAAAAGTAAGAGAATCATTTTCACAACAAAGTATTAATGTTATAAATGTCCTCTACACAGTTTTTGAAATAGCAATAAGTATCAATGCCTTTAATGCCATAACTTTTTATTCCAGAGATTCCAGAGCTGAAAGAGATACTATCAGAAGAGAGTGTTAAAAATTTAATGACAAGTGATTCTGAAAACACTTTAAAATCAGTTTTTCACTCTCTAATGACTGCAGCTTCTGAAAGAATTACTGATGGTTTGAATAAATTTCTTACAAGAATGGAAAAGGAAGGTAATCAGTAATATTCTTAAAATTTAATAGAAACTCTTAATTAAGGGTCTGATTGTGCATAATCAAATTAATCACTTCTCAAAATACTCTTGAATCAGTTATAATATTTTACTAACATACAATATGCAATAGTCATCAATTTTGCTTATTTCTTTCAGATGCAGCTACACAATCAACTCTTCTATTTCCTCTCATCAAAAGGTTGCATGCAGATTTTCCTGGGGATGTAGGCTGCTGGGCTCCTTACTTTATGAATTACCTAATACTGACACCTGGACAAGCTATTTATTTAAAGCCTAACTTGCCTCACGCCTATTTGAGTGGAGGTGAGTAGTAATGAATTTTCTATAAGAAAAATTTAATTTCCATTATTCCCTGTAGTTTCCTCCTAAGAGTTGTTCCCTATAGAGTTTATATCTAAAGTAATTTTATCTTTTTGTTATTTCTAACACTTTTGAAATTGGAGCTCTACTTTCTGTATGATGTTTGTACTAAGAAATAGATAACCAGCAGTTGTATTTATGAGCAAATGGATAAGATATAGTACAACTGATTGCAGTGCACAAATGGAAAGAAATTATGTAGCTATTGTCATAAAGTCCAGAAATAGTAAACATGTGATGCCTTGAATAAAATTATCTTCTGTTCAGTCATGCTAAAAATAAAAATATGAAGGTCTTTGTGTGTCAATTGAAGTTCATTCTTAACCTTTTTTAATGATAATGGTAACTCCTTCAGATTGTGTGGAATGTATGGCCTGTTCGGATAACATAGTTCGCGCTGGCTTAACCCCGAAACACATGGATGTGCCCACCCTGGTCGAAATGTTGGACTACAACAGCTACTCGCGAGACCAGCTGCTCTTTAACCCGCACCTGGAAGACTCGAACAGTTGCATATGGAGACCGCCTGTGCCCGACTTTGCTGTGGTCAAAATCAAAGTAAGTTACAAATTTATCATGACTTTATTAATTTCTTAGTATGAAAGACATGGCCAGGCTTAGTTCTCAATACTTTACATTGTAAATTCTTTGATTCATTCATTTCACTTATAAGCAAGAATAACTTTTGCTTAAGCTGTAAGTCAATATTTATAAATAAAATAATGTTATCAGTAGTAATGCCAATTACTGCATCCATCTTCACAATCATTCATTGAAACTCAAAAATGACTACCACCCGCTTCAACATTCCCAAAAAAGGAGAAAGTTAAACATAAAACTTTATTTTCTTCAATAAAAATTTGGAATAAAAACTATCCTATGTCCTTTCCCAGGATTCAAACTACACATCTCTATACCAAATTACACCTAAATCGGTACAGCAGATTAAGCATGAAGAGGTGACAGACATTAGATATACAATATCATGAACGGATATAAAAAATCACATCTTTAATAAATATTGGATATACCTGCTTCCTTCAGTTTTTAGTATGGCATATGTACGTACAAAGCAGTCTATTTCAAACACCATATTTTTTTTAAAACCTGCACTTACATGCACATGCCATTTGCACTTCTAATAAACCAATTAGTAAAGATATTATCTAAAATTACATAATAAACAGGTTGTAAGCGACGACGAACCATACAACACGATAATCCGAGCGAGTCCAAGCCTCATTATTATCACATCGGGTGAGGGTGAGGTATGTGACACGGAACCTGTAGCAGCCAGACCGGGAGTAGTGTTGTTCCTCAAGGCGAGCAGACAGTTGACTATAACGCCATCGCCTGGTCAACACTTGGAAGCTTATCAGGCCATATGCAACCTGTGATCATTAAGAGGCTTTATATTTAAAAATTTTGAAGATATTAAATATTTTTTTGCCACTTTAGTTGATTTAGGGCTGATTTTTCTAAATCTGGATAAAATTCATGTGTCTGATATCATATTATATGGACAAAATGAAGAGTTGACTTGTGTTAATTGGTGTAATGTAACGGATGACAATATCTCTCTTTATTTGATTGAGTATTAATTTATTGAACAGTTAAGTTTTATCCAAGTTTTGAAAAATCGGCCCATAAAGTGCAGTCAATAACACATCAGGACAAAGTGTGGAATGTGGGTTGTTTGTAAATTTTATATTAAGCACAATGAAGCTCAATTATTGCAGTTGATGGTAGTAATTTGATAGATTTGGTTAAGTAAACCTGTAACAAACTGTACATTGTATTTTCACGGCAATGAGTTAGTGGAGCGTTTTATTACTCCACTTTTATGACAAATTTTGTCATACAATCGCTTACAAAAGACAAGGATGGATTACTGTATCATGCGAAAAGGACATTGAACATTGTCATTTTAGGGACTGTGCTCATAAGGTTGTCATTGACTAGATAACGATAACACAGCATAGCGTCGTTACTGCGGCCAATAACAGAAAAGTCAGAACTTACGCGTTTTCATAAATAGAGTATTACAGCGTAATGAGCTTCATGTTGCTTAGTGTAAGATTCACCTTCGAGAATATTTTATATTTTCTGGTAATTTGTGTGTGGCGTACTGTACTATGGACTAACTTTTGTGCCATTAATGTTCTGATAAATGTTATCAGGTCTTAAGAACAGTTTTTTCTTCCGAAAATTCGTTTTATATCGATAGTAAATCTACAAGGCTTATTGAGGCTATATGGCGATTCTCGATATGTCTTATCTTAAATTATAATATTATTATACTTTATTACTAAGTTACTGTAAAACTAAAATATTTATGAGTAAAATTTTAACTAGCCTAACTTCTTTTCCACGAACTAACAAACATATCTAAGTTCTGATAAGCTTAGTTAATAGCGGCTGTTCTAAGCCAAAGAAAGGGTTCTCGTGATTATAATTTTTAAATCGCACGTCAATTTGGCTTTTAAGGCAGTGCACGCACAGTAGTGACGGATAAAAATTATTTCCATGAAGATTTGTTGCGTTTTTTGACTATTAAAGTGGAAGTAGTAAATATATAAAGCTATGATGCTATTTTACAGTCAACCCAGAGAAGTGAATTTTATCGAATGCTTCATTAAATCATATCCGGATTTATTTTATTGCTATTCCAAAGAAAGAAAACATCAATTAAATGTGTCTGTCTCTTTACAGTTGGTTAAATGGTAATTGTTGCCTTGGAATATCTAATTAGGACTATTTTAAAATGTAACTTAACTAAAGCTGTATAATACATATTTTGTTTTTTTGTGTTATTTACATTGTATGTACCTATTTCAGTTTTTATTTTATTTTATATTAACAAAATCGGTACCTAGTACCTATTCTTTAATTACTTTGTGATACCAAAGTGTTGCTCAACTAACAAAAATCATATCTTGAATTAATATTGGCAAAGTTTATTGAAAATGTGACTCGCCAACTTACTCACAGCACAGTAATAATCCTTCAGACTATAGACTTCAGACCAGAACTGAAAAATTTGCAATTGAATTTTCAATCTTAGTTCCTAGTTAGGTTCAAAGTTTAAAAAGTAATTGCAATTTTTTTATAACAATAAGTATCTTGTTGTGCTACATGTTGCCAGAAGGGTCATCGCGAACAAAGTATGAAAAACATGAACTACATGTACATAGTAGTATCTCGAAAACTACAGAACGTATTTGCATGCGGTTTTCACCATTATATACTAATAGAATAAAAAAAAAAATTTGCCATAAATCTGATTTAATCATATTTTTCATCCCACCACCTCGGAAAGTGTAATTTTGCGCTTCGAAATCTGGCTGGAAAATTCTATTTTATTCGCTTGAGCGGCAAAGTAGATTTGAATTTAGAACATCACATATAATGAGTACTCAATATAATTGTAAATTCAAAACGTCATTAAACCTATTTAATGTAACCTCTATGGTGCCATATTTATGATTAGAACTTTTTAAATTGTGAAAAAATTTAAATTTGGAACCTTCTTGGTTTCTTTGTTTTATTTGCGTGCTTCGCGCCATTCTAGTTTTTCACGTTTTATTGCTTAAATATTTTGTCATTATAAATTGTTTTCTTTTTCATTTTGTCATTTCCTCGCTGAGGTGGGATGAAAAGTTACGTATTGCACTCGAGTGGAAAGATTTTTCACCTTGTGCTCGTTTGTTTCCCTCGCTGACGCTCAGGATTCTAATTTAGAATCACTCGCTGCGCTCGTGATTCAACTTTAGAATCCTTCGCTTGCTCGGTCATCCAAATCGAGCACGCGGTTAAAAGGGAACTTTCCACTCTTGTATAATAAATAACTATTTCCACGAAAGTTTCATAAATGTAGGTAGGTATACAAGCAAGAGAATAAAAACTATAGTCTACATTCTGCAGCAAAGTGAAGCGAGGGCGAGTCACTATTTTTTATTAACAAATAATATCCTAATATGTTAAAAATTTAGTATTGAATTACATTATGAATTAATTATAAGTACATATAATATCATGTTGTTGTTAAGCCACTCGTTATATTGGCACAAGTGTGCCTTTTTACTATTGTGAAATGTGAAAATAAATATTTTATTATTTAAATAGATTTTATATCTTTTTATTTATATTTTTTACATCTATTAGTAATTGAATCTTTGGAAGTTAATTGTCATTGGTGTCGATTCTGGCATGATTCTCTAAACCTAAACTTAAATTTGACAACAGTGTACCTATCATTGCCATACACTGTGTAGAAATGACAAGGAGAGACTGATGTTAAATTCAGAATCGACACCACTGTCTGTTTTAGTAGATTCCTCTTATAAATTCCATGAATCATTATGTAACATTATTTCTTATTACGACACAATCATGTGAATGTCTGCTCGTAGTTTTAAGATAAGTCCATTGCAATGTCTAGCGATAAAATCTTTGAAATCCTTTCCCCAAAAAGGACACAGTTCGTGACATTTAAGGCTATTCTTGCAAGCCCTAAAACTCCTTATAAATATTATCACAGTTGAACTAGTTTTCTGGAACACAACGAAATGTCTATTGCAATCGATTAGCACTACATTCTGTTGATTTTTGTATTAATTAATAGTAATTGCGGGTATCTATAAAAACTCTAAGTATCGCTAGTTTATCACTATTTTATTCAACATATGGAGCAAATATATACAATCCTCACTTTTTAGGGTTCCCTACCTCAAAAGGAAAAAACGGAACCCTTATAGGATCACTTTGTTGTCGGTCCGTCCGTCCGTCCGTATGTCAAGACCGTTTTTCTCAGGAACGCGTGGAGGTATCAAACTGAAATTTATATCTAATACTCAGGTCTACTGTCCCTTGGATCTGTGAAACAATCAAACTTCTAAGCCAAAACAATCAAAAGATACAGCTGTTTATGCCGCAAATTTTTGAAACTCGCACGGGAATCAAAACCTACAGGGTACTTCCCGTGAACTTAGAATTTTGAAATTTGGTACTAAGTAACGTCTTATAGTACAGATAAAGTAAAAATTGCCAAAACCGTAAATTTTTAGTTACATCATATAATAAAAATATTTTTGAAAATTCAGGTTTGTACGGAACCCTCGCCTCGGTGCGCGAGTCCGACTCGCACTTGGCCGGTTTTTATTATTATTAATGCAAAAGTGATTTCTCTCACGCCTAAAACATTAAATCATGCTTAATTTTAGCATAGAAATAGTCGATTCTGGAGACGATTCTAGGCTTTTTGTCGTGCATATAAAACTTGAGAGGGTAACCAATTTAAGTATACCTTCTTAGGTATTCATTAGCTACACTAAACTATAATGCAGTAATATATCTAGATACCTACCTAAAGTGGGTGGACCATGGAAGGCCACTCTAACGAATAAACAGTTTCTATTAGTTAATTTACTTAATAAATGAAAGAAACAAATGATTAATTAACAGTCTGTTTTATTGTGTAACATATAAATTACTTTTTTTTATTCTGAATGTAATTACTATTTACTAAACTTAACTTTTAAGCTCTACCAAACGGCCTTACTAGGAACAGGTCTCTATACAGACCAATATTATAAATCAATTGTTCAACTTAAAACTAGAGTTGTACTTACCGAAATATCCGCTGTTACTAAAACTACATAAAAAGCCTTTTCATTTAAACAACATTAAATGCTTAACAGATTATAATATTCTTTAAAAAACTCAACGAATATTTCTTGAACACTATCGAATAACTAGGAATATATTCATGAATCTTATTTTAATATAGTTATGAGTTTTAATCAATAACAGATAAGTTGTCAATGCTTTTTGTAATGAAATTTTAAGTAACAAAATTGGCCTATAATCACCTTTTTATGGGTCCGTTTTTTGCAATACCAAAATATTTCTAATAACGTTTAGTTGAATAACCCTTATAAATAATAATATTATAAACATAAAACTTGTCCGGTACGTATTTGTCACCATGAACTAAGTGTTCATATTTCCATGATTTGTAAATGTTCTTAGTAAGGTTCATATACCCTAGCAAGGCGAATCGTAATGTTTTTGATTGACCGTATAAGGAACTACCGACTTTCATAGGACACTACCGATATTTTAACTGAAAATCGAAGCAAAATTATTATTATTTTCTTTAGTACCATAACAATTTTACCTTTAGCTGTGCGCGCTAATTACAATTTTATCATCGATTACCAACGTCTACGAAGCGAGGGACCGCAATCACAAAATAGCGACACCAGCGACTCGCCGTCGCGTCTATATTCATGAATTTGATGGAGCTTAGTGTGAGTGAGAGGAATTTATCGTCACATGACAATAACTATGATTTTTTTAAAGTTGGCCTTCAAAAGAGCATGGCCTTCCATGGTCCACCCACCTTACAATGTTTTGATAAACGCTATAATATGACTAAATTAATGTTTCAAATTCTTAAGCATTAGAATTCATAGTGCTTCCGTTCTGATGGGAAGGTGTTATTTAAAATTAGAATAGTGGCACAAGTCCTAAAAATAAAAGTTATTGTGACTTAAATTTGTCACCTCGTGCTAAAATTCCATAACTTTTCGTTCCAATGCTGTAACTGTTAAGCTTGTAATTATTTGATATTAACTGCATTTTGCAACCATAAATAGTTTAACTTGATAAAGCAGTTACTAACCTTCTCGGGCTCAGAATTCGAACATGTGTTAAAACCACATCAAATTATATTTCCAGATTGTGTTATTTTTTAACAATTATAAGCTATTCTGATGTCTTTGTACAGCGAAAATACAATAAATCAAAATTATCCAGGACGCAAAGACTCAACATGCGTACCTTTCATCCAAAATCCAAATGCATTCAGTACCTACTTTACTTTTTACGAGAATTCGTTATTATGTATCAAACATACAAACTTTCACACTTACAATATAAGTAGGATGTTTATACTTGTAGATAATAATAAAATAATAGTAAAAATATTACATGTACTAGTTAGTTGACAAACTCTTCCTACAGCCACATTCACAATGAGAATGGTTCAGAAATACAATAACATTTTTAGGGTTCTGTTCTGTTCTGTCTATTGTATGTCCCTTGAATGGAATAAAGTTGATAACAGAACTTGCTACAGTGTTGCCGCATCGTAAATAATAAAAAATGGAGAGTCTCCCATTCTCCATGAAATATAGGTAATATTATTTAGGAGACATAGTTTAACTTGTGACTTGCTCGATCCAATTTAAAAATATGTTATCACTATCATCACCAGCATATTAATGTCCCAAATGCTGGAGCACAGGCCTTCCCTATGGATGGGAATGGAAGGCCATGACCCACTACGCGGGCCCAGTGCGGATTGGTAGGTGCTTACGACTGCAAGATGCAGCCGGGACCAATGTGCCGACCATTGGGAAAGCTTCGTAACTTCCTCGATCGCAGGTCAAAACACCCTATCTCCGCCCTGGCTAAGGAGGTGGAGGAGCTGCACAGGGAGGTGCGTGCCCTTCGCGACAGGGTGGTGGGTGAGGGCGAGTTCAACAAGTCGGAGTGGAGGGAGGCCGTCAAGGAGCTGAAACGCTCCCTTATGATATCCATAGGGGAGATGGTCAGCACTCGGTTGGCCTCCATAGAGGAGAGGCTCCCGCCGCCGCAGAAAATGAGGCCACCGCTGGCGGCGAACCCGCAGGGGGCCGAAAAGGATAAGGAAACGACCACAGCAGAAGAGGCCTGGAGTGCTGTGGTCAA